CAGGGTATACATGGTGAGCGTATCCTCCTGTATCTGTAGTCCCTGTCACCCGCCCAGGGTATACATGGTGAGCGTATCCTCCTGTATCTGTAGTCCCTGTCACCCGCCCAAGGGTATACATGGTGAGCGTATCCTCCTGTATCTGTAGTCCCTGTCACCCGCCCAGGGTATACATGGTGAGCGTATCCTCCTGTATCTGTAGTCCCTGTCACCCGCCCAGGGTATACATGGTGAGCGTATCCTCCTGTATCTGTAGTCCCTGTCACCCGCCCAGGGCATACATGGTGAGCGTATCCTCCTGTATCTGTAGTCCCTGTCACCCGCCCAGGGTATACATGGTGAGCGTATCCTCCTGTATCTGTAGTCCCTGTCACCCGCCCAGGGTATACATGGTGAGCGTATCCTCCTGTATCTGTAGTCCCTGTCACCCGCCCAGGGTATACATGGTGAGCGTATCCTCCTGTATCTGTAGTCCCTGTCACCCGCCCAGGGTATACATGGTGAGCGTATCCTCCTGTATCTGTAGTCCCTGTCACCCGCCCAGGGTATACATGGTGAGCGTATCCTCCTGTATCTGTAGTCCCTGTCACCCGCCAGGGTATACATGGTGAGCGTATCCTCCTGTATCTGTAGTCCCTGTCACCCGCCCAGGGTATACATGGTGAGCGTATCCTCCTGTATCTGTAGTCCCTGTCACCCGCCCAGGGCATACATGGTGAGCGTATCCTCCTGTATCTGTAGTCCCTGTCACCCGCCCAGGGTATACATGGTGAGCGTATCCTCCTGTATCTGTAGTCCCTGTCACCCGCCCAGGGTATACATGGTGAGCGTATCCTCCTGTATCTGTAGTCCCTGTCACCCGCCCAGGGTATACATGGTGAGCGTATCCTCCTGTATCTGTAGTCCCTGTCACCCGCCCAGGGTATACATGGTGAGCGTATCCTCCTGTATCTGTAGTCCCTGTCACCCGCCCAGGGTATACATGGTGAGCGTATCCTCCTGTATCTGTAGTCCCTGTCACCCGCCCAGGGTATACATGGTGAGCGTATCCTCCTGTATCTGTAGTCCCTGTCACCCGCCCAGGGTATACATGGTGAGCGTATCCTCCTGTATCTGTAGTCCCTGTCACCCGCCCAGGGTATACATGGTGAGCGTATCCTCCTGTATCTGTAGTCCCTGTCACCCGCCCAGGGTATACATGGTGAGCGTATCCTCCTGTATCTGTAGTCCCTGTCACCCGCCCAGGGTATACATGGTGAGCGTATCCTCCTGTATCTGTAGTCCCTGTCACCCGCCCAAGGGTATACATGTATCTGTAGCCCATGTCCCCTGTCCCAGGGTGTATATCCTCCTGTATCTGTCCCTGTCACCCGCCCAAGGGGTATACATGGTGAGCGTATCCTCCTGTATCTGTAGTCCCTGTCACCCGCCCAGGGTATACATGGTGAGCGTATCCTCCTGTATCTGTAGTCCCTGTCACCCGCCCAGGGTATACATGGTGAGCGTATCCTCCTGTATCTGTAGTCCCTGTCACCCGCCCAGGGTATACATGGTGAGCGTATCCTCCTGTATCTGTAGTCCCTGTCACCCGCCCAGGGTATACATGGTGAGCGTATCCTCCTGTATCTGTAGTCCCTGTCACCCGCCCAGGGTATACATGGTGAGCGTATCCTCCTGTATCTGTAGTCCCTGTCACCCGCTCCAGGGTATACATGAGTGAGCGTATCAGGGTATACATGGTGAGCGTATCCTCCTCCTGTATCTGTAGTCCCTGTCACCCGCCCAGGGTATACATGGTGAGCGTATCCTCCTGTATCTGTAGTCCCTGTCACCCGCCCAGGGTATACACATGGTGAGCGTATCCTCCTGTATCTGTAGTCCCTGTCACCCGCCCAGGGTATACATGGTGAGCGTATCCTCCTGTATCTGTAGTCCCTGTCACCCGCCCAGGGTATACATGGTGAGCGTATCCTCCTGTATCTGTAGTCCCTGTCACCCGCCCAGGGTATACATGGTGAGCGTATCCTCCTGTATCTGTAGTCCCTGTCACCCGCCCAGGGTATACATGGTGAGCGTATCCTCCTGTATCTGTAGTCCCTGTCACCCGCCCAGGGTATACATGGTGAGCGTATCCTCCTGTATCTGTAGTCCCTGTCACCCGCCCAGGGTATACATGGTGAGCGTATCCTCCTGTATCTGTAGTCCCTGTCACCCGCCCAGGGTATACATGGTGAGCGTATCCTCCTGTATCTGTAGTCCCTGTCACCCGCCCAGGGTATACATGGTGAGCGTATCCTCCTGTATCTGTAGTCCCTGTCACCCGCCCAGGGTATACATGGTGAGCGTATCCTCCTGTATCTGTAGTCCCTGTCACCCGCCCAGGGTATACATGGTGAGCGTATCCTCCTGTATCTGTAGTCCCTGTCACCCCGCCCAGGGTATACATGGTGAGCGTATCCTCCTGTATCTGTAGTCCCTGTCACCCGCCCAGGGTATACATGGTGAGCGTATCCTCCTGTATCTGTAGTCCCTGTCACCCGCCCAGGGTATACATGGTGAGCGTATCCTCCTGTATCTGTAGTCCCTGTCACCCGCCCAGGGTATACATGGTGAGCGTATCCTCCTGTATCTGTAGTCCCTGTCACCCGCCCAGGGTATACATGGTGAGCGTATCCTCCTGTATCTGTAGTCCCTGTCACCCGCCCAGGGTATACATGGTGAGCGTATCCTCCTGTATCTGTAGTCCCTGTCACCCGCCCAGGGTATACATGAGCGGTGAGCGTATCCTCCTGTATCTGTAGTCCCTGTCACCCGCCCAGGGTATACATGGTGAGCGTATCCTCCTGTATCTGTAGTCCCTGTCACCCGCCCAGGGTATACATGGTGAGCGTATCCTCCTGTATCTGTAGTCCCTGTCACCCGCCCAAGGGTATACATGGTGAGCGTATCCTGCTGTATCTGTAGTCCCTGTCACCCACCCAGGGTATACATGGTGAGCGTATCCTCCTGTATCTGTAGTCCCTGTCACCCACCCAGGGTATACATGGTGAGCGTATCCTCCTGTATCTGTAGTCCCTGTCACCCACCCAGGGTATACATGGTGAGCGTATCCTCCTGTATCTGTAGTCCCTGTCACCCACCCAGGGTATACATGGTGAGCGTATCCTCCTGTATCTGTAGTCCCTGTCACCCGTACCCAAGGTATACATGGTGAGCGTATCCTCCTGTATCTGTAGTCCCTGTCACCCACCCAGGGTATACATGGTGAGCGTATCCTCCTGTATCTGTAGTCCCTGTCACCCACCAATGGTATACGTGCTGTAGTTGGCGGTAAAGGTAGGGCCAACAATAACTGCAGATTTCAATGTCATGATGTGTCAAATGTCAGTTGTCGTTGTTTGTTTGATTTGTAATCTTGTTGAAGACTTTCCATGAAAGGGACGCAACTCTGCCCACCTTACTGAATGTGTTGTGTGAAACATTTCGATCTGTTTTTTGTTGTTTGCAGTCGCAACTAGATGAACCAGCTGCTACTACACTCTAACTGGATGAATGAAGACCATCTGTTATTCAGCTGCCGGATTTTAATACTCATATTGTTATTCAGCTGTTACCAATGTTGTAACATGTGTTTTGCTTTTTTGTGTCCTATTTCGTAATGACAAAAAGCTTGTATAGTGTTGGTTTTGTAGGTAAATATAATGTTATCTTAACACCATCATCAGTAATATTTCACCTACATGAGGGCGCTCTGTAAATAATGGGGTCTGAACCAGACAATCATGTGATTAATAATGTCAGTATCGATTGTTCCAATTGAGACACGCATCAACTATAGGCAAGCCTTTTAGTCGTCCCGTAGAACAAGCATGGACTGTTGAACATCAGTTCGAACTCGATTTTCACTGGTCGGAGGAACTTGTACTTCAGCCTAAAGAATGGTTACTTGTCATCACAGGTGGTGGGAGTTGGGTAGCCAAGTGGTTAAAGCGTTCGCTCTTCACGCCGAATGGTTAAAGCGTTCGCTCGTCACGCCGAATACCCGGGTTCAACTTCCCACATGGGTACAATGTGTGAAGCCCATTTCTGGTGTCCCGTGATATTGCTGGAATATTGCTAAAAGCGGCGTAAAACTAAACTCACTTACTCACTCATCACACTTGGTCGTACCTTTATGACACCTGAGTTTACAGACAAGCAGTGAGCTGAGTAACTAAGCTTTGATGATCAAGAGATGTAACTCTTCTGGCGTTCCGCATTACAGGGCAAAACGAATACTGTTGCTTAATTTCAAAGAACCAATATATTTTTAGCCATATGACAATGGGCTGTAAATAACCTGGATCAGACAATCCAGTGATTGCCACCAGGAGCATCAGTCTGCGCCTCTGGAATACCATGACATGTGTCAACCAAGTAAGCGACCCTGACCCGTTACGGTAAGCATGAGTTTTGCTGAAGAAGAATTCTAACCAGGATCATTAATGGTTACGGCAGTGGGTATTAAGGACACCCCATCCTAGAAAAATCAATAAATTCTTTTTGTGAACATGGTAGTGGCCGAGAGGTCGTAATGTCATATCTTATCCCAAATGTCACCTTGGTTTGGAGAAATGAATCAGCCAATTTGCAAGCAACTAAAAGCAACTGATGTTCAAGAGCTGTAACCTTTCTGGCGTGCCGCATTACAGGGACAAAAGAATAGTTTTATAATTTCAGCAAACCAAATGGTAAATAACTTGGTCTGGACCAGACAATCTGGTGATTGACATCAGGGGCATCTAAGAACCAATATAATGCCCAGAAAGCTGAAAATGAAAATCAAGTCCGTACTGAACCTCATTTGTCTGAGAAATGGACTGTTACAATTAAATAAATATCCAGTGTATGTTCTCCTCTTTATAGATGTTGTTGTTTCGTTTGAATGTCGTGCTGAAGGATACATCAGGTTACGTCATTGGATAGCTCCCAATAATCGGCCTTCTTCTTACAAGTGAGGTTAGAGTATATCAGAAGCCTACATGCACCCTAGTTGGATTTACATTTGTGTCAGTATCTGAATGTTCAGCGAGATGGGTCGGCTCGTAATTGGTTTTGTGTTTTGCCTAACTGCCGCCATTTGCCTAGGCGTCACAAATGAGCAAGGTGGGTTTTATTTATGATACATGAAATACGATGTGATGATGTGCATCAACGTAACGGAATGAATGAATTTAATGTGGTATATGTCAATGAACTGACAGCTATAACGAACTGTTTTGCTGGGTCAAGGACACTATGTTAGTCGCAAAGCGTGTGGCCAACTATGGCTATAACGAACCAAAATTAGTTGTTTCTTCGAGTTCGTGATAACGGTAATTGACGGTACTTAATATTATCAACACTGTTTATGTACGCTGCAATCATTTATCTCGCGGGTATGCCATAACGAGGAGAGATCGTCGTTGCATCGTTCATGTCCTTTATAATTACACCCAAATGCACATTGATTCAAATTTTCAAAAACACATATGCTTTCACTGATAGAAATGTTTGTTTGTGGTATGAATGACAACATATTTTGATAGACTTCGTTTGTTACTTTTATACAGAACACTTAGAGCTTTGATATATACATATATACCCCGGCAGGTTTTGAAACTACAATGATAACTGGTGTTAGTGTGATGTGATGCGTAACACGAACTACAGCTCACATTGCACTACTCTCTAATACGTCGTCTTTGAAAGAAGCCAGGTTGTCAAAGCCATTGTGGTTCTTGCAATCTATTTTGCTCAACACCATAAAGCTTTTGTCAGGTTAAGATTTCACCTTAATCCATGTCTTGAAAAATCTTAAACAGTATTAGCATATGAAAAGTTGTAAACGTGCTGGAATTCGTTTCTCAACACAAACAATCATCGCAAGACATCGCGGGACACGAAGTACGCGAGAAGAGGCCGAGGCTTTTCTACGCTTGAGCAATTCTCCAGCTCGTCGCGGCGGTATCTTCCGAGACTAACATCACCAACGTTTGGCATTTACGTAACATTTACCCACAAAATCTGCATTTATAAGGCAGGTCATGCAATAAAAGGGCATTCAAATAAATTATGAACACATGTGACAGAGGTGTGTAATATGACCACCGTGTATTATTGGTAAATGTCGTTCGGCATCATAACCCTTGAAATTGTGCATGACAAGTTTTCCCCTGTCAGCTTGAAACTTTTTCCGATGGCGAACAAAATATCTGTTTGATTGGTGGTGAGCTTTAAGAAGGTGGTCAGTTTTAGAAAGTGGCGAAAGTGGTGAGGTTTAAGAAGATGGTGAGTTTTAAGAAGGTGGTGAGTTTCAAGAAGGTGGTTAGAAAGTGGTGAAGGTTGTGAGTTTTTTAGATGCAGGTGAGTTTTCCTTTAGAAAGTGAAGGTGGTGAGTTTTGGGATGGTGGTGAGTTTTAAAAGGTGGTGATCTTTTCGAAGGTTGTGCGTTTTAGAGAGTGGTGATCTTTTAAAAGGTGTGGGAGATTTTCGAAGGTGGTGAGGTTTAAGAAGATGGTGAGTTTTAGAAAGCGGTGAAGGTGGTGAGTTTTTAGATGGTGGTGAGTTTTAAAAAGGTGGTGATTTTTTTGAAGGATGTGTGTTTTCAGAGAGTGGTGATATTTTAAAAAGGTGGGGAGATTTTCGAAGGTGGTGAGGTTTAAGAAGATGGTGAGTTTCAAGAAGGTGGTTAGTTTTAAAAAGGTGGTTAGTTTTAAAAGCCGTGATCTTTAAACGGTGGGGAGATTTTAGAAAGTGGTGAGCTTTTAAAAGGTGGTGAGTTTTTAAAAGTGGTGAGGTGGTTACGAGTTTGTCACCTATTCGTCATTATGGCAGGTTCAATAGAAGTAGAGTATGTGACACCAAGGCGAGGGACACGACAAGCTTTGTTTCAAGGTCATCTACACAACAAGAACTCAACAAAGGAACACTGTATTCACTGGTTGTGCGTCGTGAAGGGTTGCAGAGGCAGAGTGACAACCGCTGGCAACCACGTCAGCAACAGCACTGCACACAACCACGAACCTCAGGATCAAACTCAGTGAAGTAGCACCAGGAGGCGAGTTAGAGAGGAGGTGAGGTGAGGTGAAATTGGGTTTAACGTCGTGCTGGAGAATATTTCGCTCATATGACGAGGTGCATGCGTGTGTATGTGTATGTGCGGCTGCTTGTTCTAGCCCAGACTTAAGCTGGTTTTATAGTGCTAGCCCACTGAGATACCATGCCGCAGTGAAGCATGAATACCCCACTCAGACACATTATACTGACTCCGAGCCGACCAGTCCTTGTTGTACCCATTAATGCCGAGCGCCAGGCAGGGACCAACAAGTACCATATTTTAACGTCTTTTGGTATGACGCGGTCGGGGATCGAACCCGCGACCTTCCGCTCTCCGGGCGGACGCTCTAACCACTACACCACGGAGGCGGTCTAGAGAGGAGAGTACTCCAGTACCAACCTTGTATCAGGAACAACTAGCATGACAGGATCCCCAGCCACAGACGTCTCTGGAGTCCCTGGATGCTGCTGGATATTCATATCTACCAGAGATCTAAACGGATTCATTTGATGGTGTTAACCAAGAGTAGTATTTCAGTGATGAAATGATATGTCAAGAGTATGTGACCAAAGTACGGAAGAAATGTTTGTATGTGATGAAATGTTTTATATATTTATACTTGTTATAAGAATAAATACACTCTGCTAATGAAATGATATGTCAAAAGAGTATGTGACTAAAGTATTGAAGAAATGTTTTATACATGTGACATAAGTACTGAAGAAATGCTTTATGTATTTATAATTATTCTAAGAATAAATCCTTTCGGAGTTAAGTCATAATGTACTGACGTCACAACTGAGTTGTGTTTACCCCTGCTTCAACTACAACTCGTGTAAAACTATAGTTGATCACACTGCATATGGGTATAACAAACTTTATGTCTTAGACATAAAGCATTCCTTAATTATTGTTAAAAAGAAAACTACAGAAATATTCACCCATTTGAATTTTGATGCGTACGTGCGTGAAAGTATATATGAAAATCTATGTGACTGTGTATTGAGAGAAAACAAATTTACCAAAGAAATCATTTCTGATCAACAATCTCTTATTGATACAATAAATGTACTTCACACAAAAATCCGTTAAGAATATGTGCATTATGAAGCTTGTGAATAAAAATAATACTTGATTTGTCTGCCATACCATTAATATGTAGCTTTTAGAATCAAATCAATTATGATCAGTGTTTACTCTGTGGTTAATGTGTGACAGGTTTATATCTATTTAGATTGGTTGGTAAATCAACTATTGATACATATTAACTTTAAAACAATAAATGTGGAATGTATCCATTTGTACTCGGAGTTTGCTTGTTTTCTAAAACTGTAGATGTTTAGAACAGGTAAGTCGTATATGTATGGATCTACCTATTCCCGGGGCGGTGGGGTAGCCTAGTTGTTAAAGTGACCCGGGTTCTGTACTCTTTATGGGTAATATTGCTGGAATATAACCATATATACTCACCAGACTTACTAACTCTCATCTCTTCTCCAGGAAGCCCTCCTTCCCTATTGTGCAACGCTTCAATGCCTGGACAGGACCAATTGTGCTTACGGCAATGAGGAGATAAGAGGTTGTCCAATATGTAGGTGCAAACGTTCAACAGAAGCGAGTAAGCATGCACCTTCAACATGTTTCCAGTCAATCTGTTTTACGTAGTCAAAAAGGGAACAATATCTAAACAATAAACTGCTAGGTGGTTCTTGAAAGGCCAGACTCGTCAAAAATCGTCAACGTGTTCACATCCATGAGTGAGTGAGTTAAACATATAGTCAGTTTTCAGTCCTATCTAGAATAGGTCATATGTTAATAATAGGTAATGATATGTGATAAAGACTGTCGCCAAAGGACAATAAATCAGCTATCATCTCACAGTTAGAGATGTAAAACTAGCACGTTACTTATAAAGTATATCACTATAGAGAACAGTACAATAGGGAGTCTGACACTGTCGGGATGCAAACGAGACATTTCAAAGGCAAGGTTCGCATATTTAGTATGCTTTTCCTGAATCTTGCCAATAAAATTGCTGTCAAAGGAGACAGAAAATTCAATGGTATACATGAATTAACTGGCTTTATCAAAATGACAAGATCAGGTTTGTTGGCAGGAATTCTTCTTCTTCTTCTTCTTCTTATTGTTGTTGTTGTTGTTGTTGCTGTTGTTGTCCTCTTTAAATGACAAACAATATAACAAACACACAATCCTCCTTGTCAAATGTTTACTTTCAGAAGGCCGAAGCGACGGTGTATAACTTGTTGCGGCACCTGGCCATGCTGCTTCAGATGTTAATCTGAACCATATGAGTCGACTGCAACGTAACACCCTCTGGTAAGTCGGCCTTGTGCTACAGTGTTCTTTCTTTTGTACGTCAGTATATGTTCCCAGACTAGGGTTTGCGGACCGTTCAGGGGAAAACTGCATTCACCCGCGGTCCTTAACGCTATTTCATTGAATGAAGATAGATTTTAAGTGCGGCTTATATGCTATGAATGGAATTTTATGATTAAGAGTACGTATGTTTCAATATCATTAAAATACATTATACTGAGCAAAGGTACGCACAATACAATGTCATGGTTAGCATTTGATATCAAAAGTGACTTTGTATTTGTTACAATATTCTGTGAGTGAGTGAGTTTAGTTTTACGCCGCTTTTACCAATATTCGATCAATAAACGGCGGGGACACCAGAAATGGGCTTCACGCATTGTACCCACGACTAGCCCTTGCATGTGTTTGTGACGAGTGGAGCAGGATACGCTTATGTTTAATTGCTTGTGCTCCATAAACAAATAAACTTATAGTCGGAATCGTATAATAACTCATTATTACGAAAGTATATTGTATATTTGTCAGGGGAAAATGGATACCTACGTTAATATTACTTCCATTTTACAGACGCTTCAATGTTGACGTTGCCAAGAAATGGACCACAGCCTGAAAAATATATAAAATATATAATCATTCTTTCAAGAATTAAAGACTCTTCTCTTGTTGTTTCTAGTGTCACATTGTAAACGAATAAACAAAGTACTGCACGGCTAATACTGTTTGTGAATTTTGCACGATTGTGTGTTTGTTGTTGAAAACCAGCAAATAGTCACGGTAAAAGTGAGCGAATGAGTTTAGTTTTACGCTGTACTCGGCAAAATTCCAGCTATATGGCGGCGGTCTGTAAATAATCAGGTCTGGACCAGACAATCCAGTGATCAATAGCATGAGCATCGATCTACGCAACTGGGATACGACCACATGTGTCAACCAATTCAGCGAGCACGACTACCCGATCCCGTTAGTCGGCTCTGTCGTAACCGGCGTTTGGGTGTTAGTAAACCCTACCATCGTTACCTATTGATTATGGTCGTTCCACATTGTCAGGGGAGATGTAAGCTCCAGCTCGGCACTCGCTTGGTCCATGGGGAATGCTCAATCAAGGGGTGACGGGTCGGGCGACCGTGACTCCTAACTAACTACATTACATTCATGTACTGGCTTACATACATTCAAGGATAAACGCAACACCAAGTTCTATACTCACAGAGGTTTACTGTCTCTCAGTCCATCTCTCTCTAAGTACAACTTCAACACAAGAACGTGCAGGCTCGCATCCCACGGGGAAGTTAGTAAAGTGGATTAGCTTCCGAAATATTGAGCTAGTACTCTCCGCACTCTCTGAGCTCTTAGCGCCCAAACATGTCTTTTTAAGTGAGACGAGTCTGACCTATCTTGATCACATATTTCAACATATTGTTTTGATTCGTTAATAACTGTATCTGTCCTTTCACTCATGTGTATTATAATTAGAGGGGTCTCGGACAGCACCGTTCAGTGACTCCCCTTTTCAGTGATTTGCTACTTCCGTCTCCGCCCTTTAACTCCTGTATTTCGTAACTTTCATCTGACGACCTTGTCGTGTCCTTGCCTCACGAAAGTTTTAGCTAAGTTCATATCTCAATGTTTATCTTTCTCTTATTCCCGTCCCTCTGTCTTCATTCTGTGTTTAACTGTTCTTAGTCATGAGCCAAAGGTTATCAGTTCTGAGTCATACTGGTTACGGAAATACGGAATCTGCTGTAATTCTCTTAATGCTTTAGGGATGCATTTTTCACCTTATAACAACTCTGACGGCAAGCATGGGTTACTGAAGATCAGTTTTAACCCAGATCTTCACAATTCAGGGTAAAAGGTTATTTGTTTGTAATGCACTAATTAAGTGATAATTCAATATTGTTTCAGTGCCGTGGTGGCCTTAATCCCAGAATCTTCAGTTTGATTGATTGATTGCCCTGACTTGGGATTTTTAGACATGAGGTGTCCTATATAAATCTCAAAGATATATATATGCAATGACCTACGGTTATAACGAACTCACTGGGGCAAAGATATTGCTGGAATTTTGCTTAAAGCGGCGTAAGGCCAACTCACTCACTCACTATAACGAACTCTAACTTTAGTTTGTTTTAAAATTAAATTATGTTCGTTAGCCAATACTCGATTCTCATGCTGTCAATCATTGGATTTTCTCTTCCAGTTTCGAATGTTTATACATTGCAATCATATAGCTGGCAATCATATAGCTGGAACGCTGTGGAGTTAAACAAAGTTAACAAAAACAACAACAAACACTTTGTTTAGTGAGGAGTAGAAGAATAAAACCCGTCCTTGCAAATAACTGCACCAGAGTCAGTCTGGTTTCCAAGGTAACGAGGTAGCAACATGTGACAGAGGATTCATTCACCTGGCAAATTCTCCGTTAGAATATTGTTTGTTTTGTTTGTTATTTGTTTAACGTCGCACTCAGCAATATTCCAGCAATATGGCGGTGGTCTGTAAATAATCGAGTCTGGACCAGAATAGTATCGATCTTCAGCAACCCATGCTTGTCGTTAGAGTCGAGTAACGGGATCGGGTGGACAGGCTCGCTGACTTGGTTGACACATGACATCGTACCCAAATTGCGTAGATCGATGCTCATGATGTTGATCACTCGATTGTGGAGTCCAGATTTGGTTATTTACACACCGCTGTTATGCAGCTGGAATATTTACTTATATAGCTATGTATAATCATATTAGCTTTTCACAAATGTGTTCATTGTATTTTCTAATGAAAATATTCGAAAATAACATCATTTCTGTCGTAAAGGTGTGTGAATTAATTGGCCCATGGCACCAATCCATCAGTATTTACAGCAATCACGATTAAATAAATGCCATCATGTCTTGGACTTAGCTAGAAGACCACCTGTGTCAGAAGTGGACCTTAAACGCCATCAGAGTTAGTGAGTGAATATGGTTTTATGCCGCTTTTAGCAATATTCCAGCAATATTACTGCGGGGCACACCAGATATGGGCTTCATACACATCACTTATGTGGGGAATCGAACTCGGGTCTTCGACGTTACGAGCTAACGCTTTAACCACTAGGCTATCCTACCGGCTCATTATTACTGACAGGCAAGTTCCATCTTTCGACGCCCGGTTACATGGCTGATGCTCAGCCTGCTACTGACATTAACTTTACCTAACACCAGGAACAGGTCTAAGGATAACTACACACTTTATTTGCAAAGCTTCTGGTTACAAAGGTCCGTGGTACAGCACTGGTCACACGTTGTAGCTCGTCTTCCGATGATGCTGGGAGACGACAGATGCTCACATTCCTGTAATGACATCCATATATTACACTGAACTGACGAACAAAAGTAATTACGCACGTGTGTTTATACAATTGTTTTCCCTATAATCAAAAATTGAGCGCTTTTGATTTTACTATTGACCAAATTGAGAATCCCATCCAATACTGTCCTATGTATATGTTTGAATCGACCCCCAAACAGATGGTCTGCGCCCAGGTAAGCATATTTGACACACATTCTCTCAGTGTTGACATACATTGATTTATCTGAGCCACATTTACCCATGTGGTGAATCGAACCCGTATCTTCGGGGTCACAAGTGGGCGCTTTATTCACATTCTACCCCATAAACCATATATATGGGGGATCGGCAGTACGTTACAATGTTGGTGACCTGGAAGTCACAATCAAACCACTTTCCAAAAGATTTATTTGGTTTTAGAACATAATCCCCAAACAGGAGTCTACTTTCTTTTGGACGTCAGTATATTTCACACTTAATAATAATAATAACATATATCATTGAATTTTCTGTCTCTTTTGACAGCAACGTGATTGGCAAGATTTAGGAAAAGCATGCTAAATATGCGGACCTCGCCTTTGAAATGTCTCGTTTGCATCCCAAGTACACTGTCGTCAGGTTCCCCATTGTTCTCGGTGCCCTTGGTTTGGTACCCCCTGATCTCTTGGCGCAGATCAGGAAAGTGCCCGGATTCTCCACCGGGAGCACAGCCCTTCTGACACTCTGGGTAATGCAGAAGGCTGCAGTGTTGGTGGGGCAGGACTCTCAGGACCCATCCAAGAACTCTCCGCGCTCAACGTTGCATAACTTCAACCGATTTGTGACCCGAGCTGTGTGCACAGGTCCTGTGTACTTTCTTTTGTACGTCAGTATATTTCACACTTACCGTCCTTAGCATACAGGAAAACTGGTAGGAAACCCCGGTGTTGGTGTGTACAGTCCGTGTGTGACACAGCTGAAGGAGCAATTGTTTTTGATACACATTCAGCAATGTATTAGAAATAGCGAACTGTCAATTAAATGTAGACATAAACTCACACTACAGTAAACGACGTTTATAACGAACTGACTGACATATGTTTTGGGATACGATGCCATGTGTCAACCAAGCCAGCGAGCCTGACCACCCGATCCCGTTAGTCGCCTCTAACGACAAGCATAGGCTGCTGAGGAACAATTCTAATCCGGATCTTCACGGGTCTTCAGAACCACCTAATGCTTCTTAATGTGTAAGTATATCAATCACTACATTTGAATAAAAATGTTTTCTACATTGCCTTCGAAATTTATATTGAATACCAACATATATATAGATTACAAATACAGAGTATTGATGACATCACACAACTGCAAAGCCCTTCCTCGTTGCCTTGGTTACAATACCACCTGAGTTATAATATGTGAAGTTATATGTGGTTATACCAGAGCAGAATAGTTCAAAAATAGGTAAGAACAGACTAAGAGAGCATGTATACACACGCCCCTTTGTAAAAAGTGGTCATATGCAAGAAGTGTTTTATTTGGGCTTACACTTTCTCAGTAAAGTTTTGATTCTAGCACTTTTCGCTTCTCGTGATTGATTTCGGAATAGATAAAACGTAAACTATGCCTTTAGAACACTTCCAACGCCATGTATATTAAGATAAAATTTGTAAATCCGAAGCTATTCAGGACCCGACTAGTCTCTGTCACTCACCTCATGCTTTCCGCACTGTTGAATTGTCGCACATGTAGCTGGATTCGTCACCTTAGTGCACTTGAAGCAGTTGAGTAGAGGCGTGGACGGGACTGGTGGAGGTAAATGATTGAAAAGTGACATTTGAAGCAGTTGAGTAGAGGCGTGGACGGGACTGGTGGAGGTAAATGATTGAAAAGTGACATTTGAAGCAGTTGAGTAGAGGCGTGGACGGGACTGGTGGAGGTAAATGATTGAAAAGTGACATTTGAAGCAGTTGAGTAGAGGCGTGGACGGGACTGGTGGAGGTAAATGATTGAAAAGTGACATTTGAAGCAGTTGACGTAGGGAGGCGGACAATGGACCGGTGGAGGTAAATGATTGATTGAAAAGTGACATTTGAAGCAGTTGAGTAGAGGCGTGGACGGGACTGGTGGAGGTAAATGATTGACGAGTGACATTTGAAGCAGTTGAGTAGAGGCGTGGACGGGACTGGTGGAGGTAAATGATTGAAAAGTGACATTTGAAGCAGTTGAGTAGAGGCGTGGATGGGACTGGTGGAGGTAAATTATTGACGAGTGTCATTTGAAGCAGTTGGGTAGAGGCGTGGATGGGATTGGTGGGGGTAAATGATTGAAAAGTTGCACTTGAAGCAGTTGTGTAGAGGCGTGGACGGGACTGGTGGAGGTATATGATTGAAAGTCACATCTGCAACAGTTTATTAGGGGCGCCGACGGTGCTGGTCGAGGAAGAAACATGTGGAGATTAACCTATGATCACCACGTGAATCGGTAGTTGGATAAGACCTGTGGATGTTAGTAGCTAAATAGAAGAAAACCGGAAGCACTTAAATATGTTGAGGGTTTCAATGTGATTAGCTCCTTATTGGAAACATCGCAGTTGCAGTCATTTAGCATCAATATTTTGTGACACAACTTGCATGATGGTAATGAGTCTCTAAACATGTACATTCCACCAAACCCCATCACTATTGACATCATCCAGGACTGTGTTGGTGCCTATGATCAAAGAATCAGGGTTATCACCAAAGTGACGGTGACATTCCGGTGTTCCAGCAATATCATGGCGACTCCGGGAATGTGCTTCACACCATATACTCATGTGTAATATCGAAGAAAAGAATCAACTTATAAACATCACAGACCATAACACAACATATTTGTTGTCAGTAAAGTTACGGTTTAGTTTTACACCGCACTCAGCAAAAATCTAGCTATATGGCAACGGTTTGTAAATAATCGAGTCTGACCAGACAGTCCAGTGATCAACATCATGAGCATCGATCCACTCAGGATGGTTGGTGACCGATGACATGTGTCAACCAAGTCAGCGAGCCTGACAACTCGATCCCGTTAGTCGCCAATCACGACAAGCATGGGTTACTGAAGACCAATTCTAACCCGGATCTTCACTCGTTCTTGACTATCTAGACAAAGTCAAACTGACGCATTAGAGATTTTATGAACGCTTCCCTGTTAGAGCAAGCCGTCACCTACCTGGGCAGGAACACTTCACACAGTTCGTGGACTTGTCAGCGACCAGGCATCCCTCCGGACATTTGATAAAGTCCACATAAGGGCAGTGATTCCCTTGATGAGATAGCGCTGTTGAGCCTGGGGAAAGCAAGGATTATGCTCACCGAAATGTTATTATGCAATATGGAACAAATCCCCGTTAATAGCTGAAATCGCTCTGCGTGATCGATCATTGTGCAGATCAGCAGATCGTGAAGTTATACGTACTTTGGGGTGAATGAATGAGAAAGGAATTCCGACACTTTTAGCAATATTTTACAACTATCACAAGGTAGGACAGAAATAAGCTTCACACGCTGTACTTAAGTAGATATTCAAATCCGCTCCTGAGGCGTGACGAACGAGCGCTTTAACCATTGGGCTACCCTGCTACTTTAATATTTCATCACACAGACGCTAACATCAATGCTGATAATGAAGATTGTGAAACAGCAAGAAGCAAGGCGTCTGAGGCATTGAAGCCATAACCAACAGGTTATCCTGCAACGCTTCATAACCTGTTGTTTAATAAACGTACTTCGTTTTGTAGTCTCCAGTGCAGATCGTCTCCAGCCCAGTTCGAGTAATTTTAGGTAATTTTAAATGTACATCCATCCAGTAACGAAAACTGACCATGTGTTTTTTTCAACATTTTGTGCGGAGCTGGGCCTTGCCGGTAAGTAATTGCACATGGTTGGATAACACACAACTTATCCGTTGTACATTGCGCCTATTGTAACTGCCTTGTATTACGTGGTGTGTGTGGAGCTGGGCCTGGCCGGTAAGTAATTGCACATGGTTGGATAACACACAACTTATCCGTTGTACATTGCGCCTATTGTAACTGCCTTGTATTACGTGGTGTGTGTGGAGCTGGGCCTGGCCGGTAAGTAATTGCACATGGTTGGATAACACACAACTTATCCGTTGTACATTGCGCCTATTGTAACTGCCTTGTATTACGTGGTGTGTGTGGAGCTGGGCCTGGCCGGTAAGTAATTGCACATGGTTGGATAACACACAACTTATCCGTTGTACATTGCGCCTATTGTAACTGCCTTGTATTACGTGGTGTGTGACGTTTGGGCCACATAAAGCATAGAGACCATGATGAAACTTGAAAGGTGACAAAATAATTTTACAATCTACAGAATTTCACGATTGTGTCATGAGAGTCCTTAGCATGAGTTCGACAATATCACAAGCATGTCTTTGGAAATCACAGTTAAGAACTTATACCGGGTGTTTGCGAACATCCCTTCACTCTATCTTTGCACGGTAGCTTACAATTTGCCACGTCAGAAACTGTGACCATCCGATACACATCATCCGTGTGTATCGGGTGGCTATACCACAATACCAAGAATAGAAGCAGTGCTTCGTAGTGCAACGGACGGTACAAAGGCAGATGAAACCTCGGGTTAGCGTTTCGTTTGGTTACTTTAGAACGCATATATGTTTCTGATGATTTTCTTTTGAAACAAACCGATGAAGATCCAGGATGGAATTGGTCTGCAGCCACCCATGCTTGGTGTAAGACACGGGATCGGTTTTTCATGACGCGCTGACAATGTTGATGCCCTTGATATGAATCATTGGAACTTTCAGTTATCGATTTCAGATACCACACCACCAGAATAAACATGTAGCTGGAATGTTGCATGGTCAGGGAGTTTTGCAACAAACAAACAAAAACAAAAGATTTGAAAACTCACAGATAACTTTTAGGACACATTACATACCACTTTCCCATGCTTGAAAGAACGCAACGGCCGCAAATAAGGCTGCAAAAAATTACAAGAGCCATAGATATAGCTGTCGTCATATGTCATTCATGAAATACACATTTTTATAAAGAGAAGAAATTAATTATTTTATTGGCATTCAAGAAGTTAGTGAGTCAATAATGAAGTATATGACTTTATGGATAACAACTTTTTGTTTATTACGACCCGTGAAGTTTCGGCTTATGCTTGTCGTAAGAGGCGACTAAAGGGATTGGGTGGTAAGGCTCGCTGACGTAGCTGACACATGACATCGTATCCCATGTTGTTATAAATGCTCATGTTGTTGATCATTGGGTTGTTTGGTATTTACAGATCGTCGCCTACTGTCTCTTGGCCACTACGGAAATCGAACCCGGGAAGACGACTGACCATAATGCCAGCTCACAACTGACCAGTCACAAACAACGACTACAGACATCAACGACATCGTCAACCTGGCGGAGTTACATACATGTGTACTTGTAAATACGAACGTTTTGACCATATCCGTAAATGCCTTCAGATCGCTGTAGAAATGATAGGCCTAGCACAAACAGATAAGATAGAGTGTACAATCGTGTTGACCTGTTCGTTGCCACATATCTGGGATATATTAATTAAGGGACCTTGGCGTCACATGCAACGACTACGGAATAACAACGAAGAACACTTTCAACTATAAAGCGAAGTCACTGATTATAACATATACCACGGAGATATTACGGCATGTAGGAAATAAGCAGTTAGTACCAATAACGTTATCATACCGAAATTACATACTTGTAAATACAATCGCTTTGACCATATCTGCGATTGTCTTCCTGCCGCTGCGGAAATGGCACGTGGCACAAATAGATAAGACAGCGTGTCTGTACAATCATGCTCTCCAGGGCACCGTTTTACAAAGCTATTGCAGCGCTATGGCTGTCGTACCTCATATACTTGGCCGCGTTTCACAGAGCGATCGAAACGCTTAGGTGATCGTGTGGTAGGTAAGGTAGCTCCCATATTTTACTATCCCATACGATAGCTTTGTGAAACGGGGCCCTGTAACATAGACTTACGACAGTCGTAGCGCTACGATGGCTTTGTGAAACGAGGCCCTGTAACAAAGACTTACCACAGTCGTAGAACTTCAATAGCTTTGTGAAATGGGGCCCTGTACATTGACTTACGACAGTCGTAGCGCTACGATAGCTTTGTGAAACGAGGCCCTGTAACATAGACTTACGACAGTCGTAGCGCTACGATATCTTTGTGAAACAGGGCCCAGTTCGTTACCTTATATGTTGGACATATATTAGCCACGGATTTAGATTATTCTCTCTTGGGAAAAAGTAATTGTGGTGGGGTTATCTTGTGAGAAAGTAATTGTGGTGGGGTTATGCCAGTTTCTAGAGTGAGTGAGTGAGTGAGTAAGTATGGTGTTACGCTGCTTTTAGCAATATTCCAGCAATATCACAGCGGGGGAAGCCAGAAATGGGCTTTCCACATCGTACCCATGTGGGGAGTCGAATGGGCGTGACGAGCGAACCGCCTCAGTATCTAGAGCATGGTTTGTGTGACGGATATATTCTCACGCTAGGCACCCTGTGCTTCATGTGCCACCGCTCACCCCTTTCCGTAACCTCCAAGAAGACTCGTTCCGCTTTGAGTGAAAACACAGCAAACCAAACATTAGCTTTTAACAAACGTGTTCATTGTATTTTCTAATGAAAATATTCGAAAATAACATTATTTCCGTCGTAATCGTGTGTGAACTAATTGGCCCATCGCAACAATCCATCCATATTTACAGCAATCACGATTAGATGACCGCCATCATGCCTTGGACTGTCAAGAAGACGACCTGGTGGCAGAAGTGGACCTTAAACTGAACCCTATGCCAGAGACAAGACAAGAAGGACAAGAAGACGGAAGAGCACCAGGTAGGAAAGCTTTCCAAACAATCTTTTGAACAATATAACTTGTTTATGATGATGTCTTGTGTCTAAAGAGGTAAACAAATGTAGCGAATTAGTAACGTCCAATTAGGTACAGCTGTGTGACATAATATAATGATGATATGATCACGGGTCATTTATTCGGTCGTACAACCGGTTGGAAGCCGTTGAATGGGCAGCGAACCGGTGTTTATGGCTATACAGTACTAAATAGGTCTCAGCTGACCTCGTCCACACACCTAGGGCTAAACTACATATCTCGTCTCTCGAAGAGGTGTTTAGCAGTGGTTAGGTAACATGTGTTGTGACCCGTCAATAAGTCTTGATGAGCTTCATGGTGGGATAGCATAGCACTGCTCCATGCTCTCCGTGTTTACACTGGCCCATCCTCTGCAGCCGTCCACACAGCTGAGTTATTCACTGTGGATTGATTCTAGCTCGCATTTTGACTTTTGCAAAGTGCAGCGTAAACCAACATTTTTATGAAAGTCATACTGGAGAGGTACGTGAGATCTTGTTTGAGAACCTGTTATATAAAATATTTTGTTATAAATTTGTTTTTGATTCTGCACTTGTGGAAAGTGTAATTGAAGATAATGCTCGCTTTCCAAAGTTTTAAATATATATTGACAGTTCAGGACAAAGGAAATATGCCGAGCTTGTTTGTTAATGTAATTGAAATCTGAAAGTCTTATTGTTAAAATTTATAATGTCTATTTAGCCTTCACCCAATTCTGCATATGCTAAGTAACAAACAAATACACTGGTTGAGTAAAGGCAGGGCTAAGAAATACATTGTTACATAAATTACCTCTTCCTTGTTTGACGTTTGATTTGCCCCAAACGCAAATTCATTGTTTGCCGAAAATAAGACATCCTTTAGTAGTTGTGTACTGTGGGATGTATATTAACTGTTTTTAAGATATGTTTGGAAAACTTAAACTAAGAAAGTATTCTGGGTACAGTTCAGTTTGTATATAAATCAAACATAATTTCAGATATGTATAATTGAAATCAAACATATAATAAAATCAATTGAGAGTTATGGGATCTCTTGCCCTGACCAGTATAATTTTGTCTTGCATTTCCTAATGTTATTTTCTATCGACTATTCTGATATTGACTATTTAACGATTGGTTTGTTCTCTTTTCGGCAAAGAGGCGGTGGGGGTAGCCTAGTGGTTAAAGCGTTCGCTCATCACGTCGAAGAACCGGTTTCGATTCTCGACACGGGTACAATGTGTGAGGCCCATTTCTGGTGTCCCCCGCCGTAATATTGCTGAGATATTGCTAAAAGTGGCGTAAAACTAAACGCACTCACTTTTCTGTTTGGTTCTGAAGTCTATAATTTCTTTTCGTCATTATGCTAAATGATCAGTAGAACATTTAGGAAAGTTATGATTGTGGAGAAACATGTGGTACTTCTTTCAATGATTGTGGAGAAACATGGTGGTAATTCTTGCTATGATTGTGGAGAAAAATGTTGGTAATTCTTGCTATGATTGTGGAGAAAATGTTGGTAATTCTTGCTATGATTGTGGAGAAATATGTTGTTAATTCTTGCTAAGATTGTCGAGAAAAATGTTGGTAATTCTTGCTATGATTGTGGAGAAAAATGTTGGTAATTCTTGCTAAGATTGTGGTGAAAAATGTTGGTTATTCTTGCTATGATTGTGGAGAAAAATGTTGGTAATTCTTGCTATGATTGTGGAGAAAAATGTTGGTAATTCTTGCTATGATTGTGGAGAAATATGTTGTTAATACTTGCTAAGATTGTGGAGAAAAATGTTGGTAATTCTTGCTATGATTGTGGAGAAAAATGTTGGTAATTCTTGCTATAAATGGTATCAATCAATAGTTTTGCTCTTGTCGACAGTTACAGATATCAGTCTATGTAAACCTTATAGTTTATTTGTATGCTTCCTTTGGATTTTCTACAGCAACATGACTCTCCTTCGCTCGTGTTTGCTGATTATGATAGTAATGATCCATTGCAAGTCAATACAAGCTGAAACTGACTGTTTTGGTCGAAGGACTTACGGGTTCGAGAGGGAAAGTACCGACTGCCATTTGTTCTACAGGTAATTCAAATCGTAGCTGCCAGTAAATTTAATTGATTCGATTTAAAGACCCATTTGTGTTAAACAGTATTAAACACAAGCATGGTGCTAATTTGGACGAATCGGGATTCGAACCCACGATCTCTGATTCCCGGGGTGCTCAAGGGAGGCCACTCGACGTTTCAGACGATTGGTTCCCGCTTGCGGTTGTGTCGAACGTTGATGTGTCAAACTTATGGTCGTCACAAAGTAGGAGCTTGTACCCAGAGACCCGTGAAGATCCTGGTTAGAATTGATCTTCAGTAACCCATGCTTGTCGTAAGAGGCGACTAACGGGATCGGATGGTCAGGTTCGCTGACTTGGTTGTCACATGTCATCATATCCATATTGCGTAGATCGATGTTCTTGCTGTTCATCACTGGATTGTCCGGAACAGTCTCGATCATTTACAGAACACTGTTGTACAGCTGGAATATTGCTGAACGCGGCGTAGAAAAATAATAATAATTATATGGCCACAACAAACAAAACAATAACATGACTGAAATAACTGAAATATTTAGTATTAACTCATTTGTGAAATGTCAAAACTGAAAATGTTACTTTTTCTTTACGTACACCAGGACCATCTTGTGTCCAGAATATCCATGGCTGGGTCAGTCTAAGAAACAGCTACGTCTTCCCTACAGATGTAACTACGACTTCGTCTTCAACGTGGTCAGCGGCCGTAGGGGGTATTGTGTTCCTCGAGGAGAGGAATCAGACCCGTGCTGAGGTAAACACTTGAGGTCAGTGTGCGAAATAGCCACTGGCCCGCAAGACCGTGGCTAGTAAATATCCAGTCGGGCCAGTAAACCTCCAGTCACTGGCCCGACTAGCTAGTGAATTTTCATGGGGTCATTTTGTAAATAGATCACTCTCACCGACTTGTTAGGTTATAATACACTTTTAAATCACGTACGATTATGGCCTGATAAAAGATTTCATCATATTAGCAGCTTATCCTTGTGTAATGTTTTGCCGGGCCTCTAATAAGCGCCGGGGGTAAACCGACGTACTAACAATTACGTAATTACACCCAATAAGCGCAAAAGCGCCGGGCCTCTAATAAGCGCCGGGTCTGGTACCCCTTTGAATAAGCCCCCGGGCGCTTCTTAGGGGAAATACGGTATACAAACATATACAGAAGATAGACAACAGTAAAGCGTCGTTAGTGGTAGCGTCAGAGGGGATACGTATTTTAGTCCAGATATAAACACAGATATGGTAAGTGATTCATGCGGTTAAACGGGAGACAGTTCCATCATGAAGCAGCTGTATGAGAGAAGGATCGAGCACCGACAGATTTCAGTTTATATTCTGGTAGTCATATGACCAATAAACATTTTATCATCATTATTATTACTGGATCAGGTAATTAATACAAGCAATACTTATAGATACAATCATATTGGCATACACTAGTTTTACATTTTGTTACAATTAAGAAACATTTATGATTCTAATAAAGTAAACTAAACACGTATATACTTACGTACTGACATGATTTAAATCTCCATTTCCTCAATCAAAGCATTTACGAGACATTAACCTGGTTTTCTGGTTCAGACATAGAAATATGGTTTATACAGGTAATTACTGGGATACAGACAGGCGCTATCAGTAAGCCTCACAGCCATCACGGCGGTTAACGGTAAAGTAGGAGTGCCTTGGGCTGTATTACCTCAGCCATGAAGTGATTACATTCTGAGAGGATCACTTGTTTCTCTGTTACTTCACACGTCCCCAGGTCCATGTATATGCGCAGGATTTGTGACGGTGACTGTTTGTTCTCATAACTGCTACTCAATTTTCAGATAGCCCTTGACAGGCCTGCTCAACGGAACATCCCTGTCGACGTCGTAGATGCGTAATGTGAAGTATGACGTCCCAGCAATGGAATGTGGATGTGTTTTAATGTTAACAAAACACTGATATGGAACTGTTAACTATTCTCGAAACATTCGTAGCCCCACGAACTTCTTAAACCCATTCGTAACACATTGGCTACGACCAAATTTATTCTTAGGGCTACGAACGTTTCGTGAATAAGAGCCCTGGATTTTATAACTTAAAGTTTGAGATACTTGACTTACCTTTTATAATTTGTTTCTTGGTTTTTGTTTGCGAATATTTTAGAATAAATACGGCTGTTTGTAATAATTCTAAATGTGCACCAATTGTTATGTGTCCTTGCAATTTATTGTGAGTGAGTGAGTGAGTTTGGTTTACGCCGCTTTTAGCAATATTCCAGCAATATCATGGAATGGGACACCAGAAATGTGCTTCACACATTGTACCCATGTTAGGAATCAAACCCTGGTCTTCGGCTTTACGAGCCACCGCTATAACCACTAGGTTATCCCACCTACTCTGTTTATTGTGTAAGAATGTTCCAAGTGTAATACTTTGTACATGAGGACAGTCAGTAAGCGTAATTTACAGACCACCGCCATATAGCTGAAATTGTGCTGAGCGCGGCGTAAAACAACAAACCCACCAAGCCAATTTATGTAATGACCATGTAAACATACAACTGCCGTTCCTTGCACGCCGATTAGGGAACCTGAGCAGAGTTCTCTCCCCTACACTGCATCCCAACATTGAAGATGCCGTCCACTCCATGTAGGTTCGTATATACACCCACAGGCAAACGATAATTGTGACGTGGACATTTTTGTAGATCTTATGAAATAATTTTAAATTCGTCCCAGAGAAAGTATGATAAAATGGTCGAACAAACGCAAGGAGTTACAATCACAATAATATTTCAGGGTACGTAAGACTAATTGTATTTATGAAGATGAGACAATTTGTTATGCTTCTGGGGAGCTTACAGCCATTCTGACCATCGCTCGTCACGCCGAAGACCTGGGTTCGATTTCCCATATAGATACAATGAAGCCCATTTCTGGTGTCCCCTGCCGTGACATTGCTGGAATACTGCTAAAACCATGCTCACTCACTCACTCCATTCTGACCACGTCTCCGTGGTGTAGTGGTTAGAGCGTCCGCCCGGAGAGCGGAAGGTCGCAGGTTCGATCCCCGACCGCGTCATACCAAAAAGACGTTAAAATATGGTACTTGTTGGTCCCTGCCTGGCACTCGGCATTAATGGGTACAACAAGTACTGGTCGGCTCGGAGTCAGTATAATGTGTCTGAGTGGGGTATTCATGCTTCACTGCGGCATGGTATCTCAGTGGGCTAACACTATAAAACCAGCTTAAGTCTGGGCTAGTACAAGCAGCCGCACATACACATACACACGCATGCACGTCGTGATATGAGCGAAATATCCTCAAGCACGACGTTAAACCCAATTTCACCTCACCTCTGACCACGAATGAGTTTTAGTGAGACACAGTTGCCGTTCAAGTATACACACATGTGTTCGAGGTGTATCATGAATACCATGTAAAACAATCACACAAAAAAGTGATCCATTAATCAAGTCATTTGAAATGGTCGAGCGATATTTTGTTTTGCACCTAAACAACGTCAAAGATAGAAATATTGCTTTGGGGGACAGCCTGATCATGATTGAGATCAACTGAGTGAAGGGGAGAAGTAGCTTGTACTTCAAATTGTCTTTTCATCAAAATCCGAGACTTAAAATGCGGCTTATAATCCGTTGTCGAGTGCACACAGGGCCCCGTTCCTGAAAGCGATCGTAGCTCTAAGGTGATCGTAACTCTCATACTTTAACATAGACTTACGACAGTCGTAGCGCTACGATCGCTTTGAGGAACGGGACCCAGGTCCTTAAGAGCATTTTCGTTTCGAATATGGACATCTACATATGGACATTAATTAAGCAACACCTAGTTCATGGACATATAATTCTGTGAAAAAAGCAACGCAGTTTTTCTTATATTTTGCATCTTGCTGTATGGCATGATATTTTGTGTGGAAATATTTAATTGACTTGCGCAGTACGCGTGAGATGTCATTCCCCTAACATTGCTGACATCAAGTTTTTACTGAAAACATGTCACACTCTCCTCTTACAATTTGGATTAAATATTCAGTACCATGCTTGCATTTGAAACCATTTCTTGTGACAATTGCTGAAATGTGAGACTTGGGCGTTCCGTTCTATGTGTTTAATGTGAGCTATGACACAAAGAATAAAGGCAAGATATTGTATTGATGAAACCTTTGTCTCGCCTGTGACGATCGGGGTTAGGATTGGTCTTTAGGAAACCATGCTTGTCGTAACGGGATCGGATAGTCAGACATGCTGACCTGGTTGACACATGCCATCCCAGGTTGACACAGTTGCGCAGATAGATGATCATGCTATTGATCACTTGAATGTCATATTTTTGGGCTGTGGGGTAGCCCAGTGGTTAAAGCGTTCGCTCGTCACGCCGAAGACACGGGTTCGATTCCCCACGTGGGTACATTGTGTGAAGCCCATTTCTGGTATACCCCGCCGTAATATTGCTGGGTTATTGCTAAGCGCGGTGTAAAACTGAACTCACTCACTCACTTGATTGTCTGGTGCAGACCTGAATGTATTCAGACTGCCGCCATAAAGTGGGAATATTGTTAAGCATTAAAAGAAATAATCTTTATTCTGTTTCGATACAGACCGTTACACCGTTGTCAAAAGACATCCATGAAGTATAATTCATCAATCGTGTCGTTTTAGACATTTGAGAGACCGTTGATTTTGCTAGTAAACAATGTGAGAGATAAACTTTTGCCTCGCGGGGCATTCTGATCATGATTGACATGACCTGACAGGGAAAAACTCACTTGTACTTAACATATCTGTTCGTAATAACCTAAGACATAACAAGAGGAAAACGACCTCTATTTCGCAAATCATGTATATCCTGTAATATAGCAATACTATGTTACCACAAATCTTGATCGAACAAAATGGACGCAGTGGAAATTTGAATGCCAAAATTGATGGATAGCAATGCAACATGGATGTCCAAATATTTAAATGAATACATTATTTATAACCTTACTCTATCTATTATCAACGCAGGGCTTGTTTGAGTGACGATATGGCTGAAGTATTGCGAATGATACTATATATCTCACTCACTCACTCACTCACACCTATCCTGATTCGGGTGAATAGGTCAGGAAGTGTTGCTTTGTTTGGTTGGTTTCTAATGCAGCACTCAGCAATATTCCAGTTATGTGACGGCGGTCTGCCGTCTGTGACCAGTGACCAGTGACAAGTGACAAGTGACCAACAGCATACGATGACATGTGTCAACCAACAGTGAGATAGCCTGATTCCGTTAGTAACCTCTTACGACAAGCATGGGTTACTGAAAACCACTTCTAACCCGGATCTTCTGAGCACAAGAAAATAAAGACGTTTCAGTAATAGAAGGAGGTAATAAATGTTTATTCAAGAATTTTGGAATATCGGAGCAAGTTGCTAAAGGTGGAGAATACAGTAGACAGAAGGCATAGGCCAGTGAACATGTATGAAGCTGGTATTATATAGAATATTTCTCTTTAAATATGGCTTTTCAGAATGGAACTTGATACACTTGAACCACATGTATCCAACTGCCGTGTGGCAGGAATTATAATGTCAACACTTCAACTAATTTTGCTTTGTTTGTTTTTGGACTCCACACACAACAATGTTCCAGCTTTATGGGGCGTTCTGTAAATAATCGAGTCTAGACCAGACAATCCAGTGATCATCAGCATGAGTATCGATCTACGTAACTGGGATACGATGACATGTGTGAACCAAATCAGCGAGCCTGACTGACTGACTGAGTTTGATTTTACGCCGCTTTTAGCAATATTCCAGCAACATCACGGCGGGGGACACCAGAAATGGGCTTCACACATTGTGCCCATGTGGGGATTCGAACCCGGGTCTTCGGCGTGACGAGCGAACGCTTTAACCATTAGGCTACCCAACCGCCCCATCAGCGAGCCTGAACACCCGATCCCGTTAG